TTTGCTACCTGGAACAAAGTTCCAAATAGCACGGGCTATGGTGAGCCCGTAGTGCTTTATTGTAGTCGAACAGTAATTATGTAAACATCATTATTATTATTATTATTATTATTACTAGTAACACGAATGATAATGTTTTTATTATTAAAATTATTATTTCTAAAGATTGGAAAGGAATAATAATACAAATAAAATACTTATGAGAAAAGAAGGCAGTAAAGATAAAGAACGAGAAAAGATAAAATACAAATAAAGGCTACTGAAGGGAATGTGAGGAAGAGCGATAAGTGAAATATATGAAATGGGAATAAGAAAAATCAGTAATTATTAAACAAAGAAAACGGTTTCTTAGAGGAATGAAGGAGAGAGAGAGAGAACGAAAAATTAAGGAGAGACGTCGATAAAAGGAAGACAAAAAGACGATGCAACAGAGACACTATACGAAAATTAAATTGAAAAACATACGAATTCATAAGACCAGAAAAAATAGAAACTGGGCTGTATGGTGCATAAGTTGGCCTGCAGGCCGCTGCAAGCAACAGCCTGGTGGACCAAGCTCTCACGAATCCTGACTCCGGATCAGGCACGGAGAGTAAAAGAACTCCCAGAACTCCACCAAGATATGGGACAGAGAAAGTTTCAGAAGGCCTATTGGTCCATACGAGGTAGCTCCTATTGGTCCATATGAGGCAGATGCTATTGGTCCATACGAGGCAGCTGCTATTGGTCCATACGAGGCAGCTGCTATTGGTTCATACGAGGCAGCTGCTATTGGTCCATACGAGGCAGCTCCTATTGGTCCATACTAGGCAGCTCCTATTGGTCCATACGAGGCAGCTGCTATTGGTCCATACTAGGCAGCTCCTATTGGTCCATACGAGGCAGCTGCTATTGGTCCATACGAGGCAGCTCCTATTGGTCCATACGAGGCAGCTCCTATTGGTCCATACGAGGCAGCTGCTATTGGTCCATACGAGGCAGCTCCTATTGGTCCATACGAGGAGCATCTTTACGAACATAGAATAATGAAGTAGACAAGAGAAAGAAAGCAAAGATGACGGTAAAGATGCCAACAGAAGCACCAAACAGTGAGGTCAAGTTTATTACATTTTAATTAAACATTCTGCCATTTTTCTCTCTCTGTGTTTCTCTACCTCCGTCTCTCTCTCTCTCTCTCTCTCCACCACGGCCTCCACCTCTGGCCTGGCCCCAAACCCACGCAACAAAAAGATTTGATCATCAACACCCTTCCTACACCTTGTTCTAGTAGATGACGTCACACACACACACACACACACACACACACACACACACACACACACACACACACACACACACACACACACACACACACAGAGCAAGCGTAACCAAACGCCACATTCACCAGCCACACACGGGGTGCAAATCTTACCGTATTTGGCAACCTGCACTCTGGAAACGTCGTGCATCAGCAACTCTGAAGCAGCTGCCACAGTTACGATGATCACGAGAAAAAAATAACGGAACGTGCACTTATAAATTTGGTAAATTCTCTTCATTACTGTCACAAAGCTGATATAATATCTTCGATATAATACGAATATTATATAATACCCGAAGAAAACGCGAAAAATATTATCTAATACCCGAAATACAAGCAAAATCAATGTACCAAGTCCTTCCATATTTGGTAACGCGTGAATTGAAATATCAAACATCTTCATCTCCAACGACTTGCCAGAGGTACGATGATGCTCATGTGTGATCGCCCTGCTCTTGGGGTGTTTTCGTTTTTGTGTGTTTTTTATGCACCAAAATTTATCATCACTATTCATGCTCTCGGTGAAGTTGCCAGAGACTTGATGATACTTCTCTCTCTCTCCCTCGACCTCGTTTCTGCATTCTTCAGTTTTTTCTCCTTGGACTTGTTTATCGCGTCTATTCTCGTACACACACACACAGAGTCATTTCCAGCCGCTGCCAGAAGCACGATGACACTAACATAACCTCTCCGGAGGATGCATTTTTTGGTGCATGTTAATTCCTCATTACCGAAGGCTGCCAGCTGTAAAATGATCTTCTATAAATAGCTCCGCATTGTATTTAATTCTATTATTAATTATTTTGTGAAATGGTTGATTAAAGTGTACGATAATTCCGTTATAAATATTCAGAATATATGTTATGAATAACTCATATGCCCAAATTTCCCCCTTCGATAACCTGTTAGCGCATTACAATTATCTATAAGAACACGCTAAGTATCTGTCTGTAATTATTGTTGCAATAATTGCAAATTATTGCAATAATTATTATTGTTCCCTATTATATGATCACTTAATCTGTTTAAAAATACAAACTCGAGGCGTGAATGAGTAAAAATAGCAAACAAATTAAAGGGAAAAATACCCGCATATTGGCGATTTTGAGCAGTGAAAGGGTTAAAGGTTTTTATGTATTTAAAGACTATAACATAAAGGACATTGAACAAGGTTTATACGAAGATGTTTGTAATTATATCCAGTCTGGATTGTCGACCTCTAATTGTTCTCTTTTATCAAAGTTGATGAAATAGAACAGTTAGTTCCTATTGGTCCACAACGAGCTGCCATACGAGGCAGCTCCTATTGGTCCATACGAGGCAGCTCCTATTGGTCCATACAAGGCAGCTCCTATTGGTCCATACAAGGCAGCTCCTATTCGTCCATACGAGGCAGCTGCTATTGGTCCATACTAGGCAGCTCCTATTGGTCCATACGAGGCAGCTCCTATTGGTCCATACGAGGCAGCTCCTATTGGTCCATACGAGGCAGCTCCTATTGGTCCATACAAGGCAGCTCCTATTGGTCCATACGAGGCAGCTCCTATTGGTCCATACGAGGCAGCTCCTATTGGTCCATACGAGGCAGCTCCTATTGGTCCATACTAGGCAGCTCCTATTGGTCCATACGAGGCAGCTCCTATTGGTCCACACGAGGCAGCTCCTATTGGTCCATACTAGGCAGCTCCTATTGGTCCACACGAGGCAGCTCCTATTGGTCCACACGAGGCAGCTCCTATTGGTCCACACGAGGCAGCTCCTATTGGTCCATACGAGGCAGCTCCTATTGGTCCATACGAGGCAGCTCCTATTGGTCCACACGAGGCAGCTCCTATTGGTCCACACGAGGCGGCTCCTATTGGTCCACACGAGGCAGCTCCTATTGGTCCACACGAGGCAGCTCCTATTGGTCCACACGAGGCAGCTCCTATTGGACCTGATATACACCATAGAGAGTGGCACACTTAGTGCTTCTGCACCTTCTATTAGGTGAGATTCTGTCTGCCGCTGTTTTGTTTCAAGCAAAGGTTAGACACAAATATGAATGAGTTTGAGTGGATATTTACCGGAAATTACCTGAGGGCCACTTACACTCTAGTGGCCTCGACGAGGACAGGCAGCCGGCGGCCTGTCAAAGGTCCCCACCCCCCCCCAATATAAATAAGAAATGATCTTCTATAATGTATAAATAGGAACACCCATGTATATGGACCAATATAGGCCTTCAGTAGCTTCATAGATTCTTCTCTCTCTCTGTCTCTCTCTCTCTCTCTCTCTCTCTCTCTCTCTCTCTCTCTCTCTCTCTCTCTCTCTCTCTCTCTCTCTCTCTCTCTCTCTCTCTCTCTCTCCCTCCCTCTCCCCTCGTCGCCAAAAGATGAGGTGGCAGGCACGCCATATCTCCCCAGATGATCACATATATGACCATCCCAGCGCCTGCCAGCCAGCTATCGGGCTACACCACACCCACGCTCGTCAGGGACCACAAAAATATAACCAACACACTTTTATTTTCCTCTGTGGCTGTGGTTTGTGAGAGGCAAGGTGTTTACCACGTGAAGGAAGGTGATTGGTTGCTAAGGTTGTGATCTGAGGGGTGATTGGTTGTTGGCTGATTATATTTAATCTTAAAGCTGTCTGGCAAGCAGTGTATTAGCGTGCGATGATAGGCTAATGGTGTTTCCGTTTTCTGTGATTGGCAAACGGAGTACGGTTCTCTTCGATTCGTTAATGGGTCACCGTTCTCTACGATGATTGGCTAACAGAGCACAGCTCTCAACGATGATTGGCTAACGTTGTTTGGTTCTCTACGATGATTGGGTAGCCCGCAGCTTCCTACGACAATTGGGTAATAGCATACCAATCGGGAATCTGCCAAAGAATGGCTCTAAAGAGACTGGGCAAACAAAGATAAAAACACCTTTGAGATAAGTTTATCCTCACCAGAACATTTATGCCTGTCTACGTCTGTCTGTAGCACCACTGGTGGGGGTTTGTAATGCTGTTCTTCAACGTTACAGCACCGTACGTTGAGCTCAGACACTTACGGCGCGTGGGGACGACCTCTTACTGATGGTCTTACGGAGAACATCTCACCGTAACGGAGATATAACGAATTACACAACATTCATAAGACTTCAGAACAGTCAGAAACTACTTCATAAGGCTCAAGAATGGACATAAACTACTTGATTAGAATCAGATTGGAAGAAACTCCTTGGTAATGCTCCAGAATGGACAGAAACTATTTGGTAAGGCTCTAGAATGGACAGAAACTACTTTAAAAGGGTCCAGAACGGTCAGAAACTATTTGGTAAGGCTCTAGAATGGACAGAAACTACTTTAAAAGGGTCCAGAACGGTCAGAAACTATTTGGTAAGACTCTAGACTGGACAGAAACTACTTTCAAAGGGTCCGGAACGGTCAGAAACTACTTGGTAAGGCTCCAGCAGTTTGGTAAAGTTCCAGCACGGACAGAAACGTCGTTTCTATTTTTTCATAAGTCTCGTTGTCTGGGACAGGGAGTCTTTACGAAGGCTTATGAAGCACCTCCCAACAGGACGCGTGGTGGTAACATATAACACAACGCCCCCCAATCAAAGAATTACAGATCTTCCGAAGTTTACCTTCAATTCAAAATAGAAAAAGCATCTGCAAATTTATAGAAAATGTAGAATACAAATTGTTTTATTGGGGAACTTACCTGCCCTGAAGATCTCCCCACATCCGTCGCAGCGCGTAGCGAACTGGGCATCATAGCAAGGCCCACAGAAGATCTTGTCCATCTTGGAGCCAAACTGTTTGTCTACGAGGGACACCTGACACTTGTTGCACAAGAAGCATTTTTCGTGCCAATGTTTGTCCTTGTACGACAAGTCCTGTAGGGTTGAGAGAGGTAGGAATTAGGGAACTATGACCGATAAAACACATGGCATAGATATCCAGATACAAATGCTAAGAACTAGGAAAACAGATAATTAAGAATCCGCGAGCTAGTTGATGATATTCCTGCACTTGGACACAAATAAGAAGTGAAAGATGGCATTATCTATAGATATCAGGAGATAAATGACCGTTTATAAGATAAACGTCTCGCCTCGTCAGTTATTTATTTATTTATTTATTTGGCGAGTCTTGTGAGGTCGATATATACAAGGTTAGAGAACCTTGGTACATATACATATCAGAAGGTACACTTTTTCCAAAACATATTAGATATTATAAGTTTATTAGAGGATAATTGTCAATAATGCGACAACAATTTGTTTTTTAATGTTTTTTCTTAATGCTTAAGGCCTATCAACCTCCGGAGGGTTATTAATTCCTATCAACCTTTGGAGAATTATTAAGGCCTATCAACCATAATACACGTTTCGGTGTATGCATCTCCAAGTCAGAATTCAACACATGCACTTCGAAGGCAAATATTAATTACAATAATCCAGAATATCGACTTTATAATGATAATTAATAATTCAATGTTTAATTCTATTAAACTAAATATTATATATCAACATACCAAAGAGGAACTAGAAAGGACACCTACATAGTGACTTTGACAAGCCGCCGGCATTGTGTCTACGTCGAGGCCACTAGATACATAGCGACCGTCAGGTAAAATAAAAAGCTTTTGACAATCAGGAGTGTGTGCTATAACGTAATAACAAATTCGTTTTCTCTGATCAAAGAAGAAAACGGAGAATAACAACCAGAAACTAGTGTAATTTCAAAGCTTATTAATTAATGACTCTTGTTGGAGTTATAAATAAATAAATAAATAATAAATAATTTTTTATTCAGGTAAGGGACATACATACAAGGTAAGATACAAAGTTGATGGATTAATAGATAGAGCTAGTACATACAATGCCTAAAGCCACTATTACGCAAAGCGTTTAGGGCAGTTCGTATCCCATTGACAGAGTCCAAGCAAGTCACCCATCCAGTCACTGCCCCTAATACCCATCCTGTGGGCGGACCTTATACCCATCCTGTGAGTGGTAGTGGACCCCATACCCATCCCGTGAGTAGTAGTGGACCCCACACCCATCCTGTGGGTGGTAGTGGACCCCATACCCATCCCGTGAGTAGTAGTGGACCCCACACCCATCCTGTGGGTGGTAGTGGACCCCACACCCATCCTGTGGGTGGTAGTGGACCCCATACCCATCCTGTGGGTGGTAGTGGACCCCATACCCATCCTGTGGGTGGTAGTGGACCCCACACCCATCCTGTGGATGGTAGTGGACCCAATACCCATCCCGTGAGTAGTAGTGGACCCCACACCCATCCTGTGGGTGGTAGTGGACCCCATACCCATCCTGTGGGTGGTAGTGGACCCCATACCCATCCTGTGGGTGGTAGTGGACCCCATACCCATTCTGTGGGTGGTAGTGGACCCCACACCCATCCTGTGGGTGGTAGTGGACCCCACACCCATCCTGTGGGTGGTAGTGGACCCCACACCCATCCTGTGGGTGGTAGTGGACCCCACACCCATCCTGTGGGTGGTAGTGGACCCCACACCCATCCTGTGGGTGGTAGTGGACCCCACACCCATCCTTTGGGTGGTAGTGGACCCCACACCCATCCTGTGGGTGGTAGTGAACCCCATACCCATCCTGTGGGTGGTAGTGGACCCCACACCCATCCTGTGGGTGGTAGTGGACCCCACACCCATCCTGTGGGTGGTAGTGAACCCCACACCCATCCTGTGGGTGGTAGTGGACCCCACACCCATCCTGTGGGTGGTAGTGGACCCCACACCCATCCTGTGGGTGGTAGTGAACCCCATACCCATTCTGTGGGTGGTAGTGGACCCCACACCCATCCTGTGGGTGGTAGTGAACCCCACACCCATCCTGTGGGTGGTAGTGGACCCCACACCCATCATATGGGTTTTGGTGAAAAGAGTTAGTCGTATAATAGGCTCAGGGACTAAACCCTAAAATTTATCTGTCAAAGTTACTGTAGTTTGGGTGATGTGGAGGTCAGTCGGGTAAAGCACTGTTGGGTCTGGTCAGTAACCGGATAGATGACCACGTAGAGACAGCCGAGATACGTATAAACCCCCACCAACCATCAGACCTATTAACAAAGTCGACTGAGTACACACTACTGCGTGTACTAACTATTATGCAACATTTAATGTTGGATATTATCCTTAACTATGGAAAGTTAATAAATCAACATAGTTGGCCAGTAAGAAAACTTTATCACAGAAATTTAATAAACTTTATGTAAATTTTATTTTCTTTCTTTGAATAACGGCACGAAAGTTTTTAAATGTGATTACTTAGGACTTCGAGAGTATTACCTCTCCGGAGAAGTAGGGAATTATTTCTCGACTTGCATATAACAATAATAATAAAGGATACCGCAAATGGAATTATGGAACGACGCTACATCAACTGGACCATTGGGGATCGAACATCGACCATGCACGGTAGGCCGGCTCTTGTTTATGAAGATAAACATGATCAACGAAAACACTGCCCATTACAGCAGCTTCTCACGTAACGACAAGATAATCTAAATCTTGTGGAATCAGACATGATATACATGACACATTTAAACGTGATATTTAACATTCAAGTGACACTGCAGAAATCCTATTGGTCCAGACTAGGCAGCTCCCATTGGTCCTCACGAAGCAGCTCCTATTGGCTCCTATTGGTGTTCATTGGTCCTATACGAGGAGATTCTATTGGTCCATACGAGGAGCTGCCTCGTATGGACCAATAGGAGCTGCCTCGTATGGATCAATAGGAGCTGCCTCGTGTGGACCAATAGAAGCTGCCTCGTATGGACCAATAGGAGCTGCCTCGTATGGACCAATAGGAGCTGCCTCGTATGGACCAATAGAAGCTGCCTCGTGTGGACCAATAGGAGCTGCCTCGTATGGACCAATAGGAGCTGCCTCGTATGGACCAATAGAAGCTGCCTCGTATGGACCAATAGGAGCTGCCTCGTATGGACCAATAGGAGCTGCCTCGTATGGACCAATAGAAGCTGCCTCGTATGGACCAATAGGAGCTGCCTCGTATGGACCAATAGGAGCTGCCTCGTATGGACCAATAGGAGCTGCCTCGTGTGGACCAATAGGAGCTGCCTCGTGTGGACCAATAGGAGCTGCCTCGTATGGACCAATAGGAGCTGCCTCGTATGGACCAATAGGAGCTGCCTCGTATGGACCAATAGAAGCTGCCTCGTATGGACCAATAGGAGCTGCCTCGTATGGACCAATAGGAGCTGCCTCGTATGGACCAATAGGAGCTGCCTCGTGTGGACCAATAGGAGCTGCCTCGTGTGGACCAATAGGAGCTGCCTCGTATGGACCAATAGGAGCTGCCTCGTGTGGACCAATAGGAGCTGCCTCGTGTGGACCAATAGGAGCTGCCTCGTGTGGACCAATAGGAGCTGCCTCGTATGGACCAATAGGAGCTGCCTCGTATGGACCAATAGCAGCTGCCTCGTATGGACCAATAGCAGCTGCCTCGTATGGACCAATAGGCTTCCTGCAGTTTCCTTAAATTTTAATTTTTGTGTTTGCTTTTTGAAATATTCAAATGCACTGAAATTAAATATCAGAGGACAATCACAAGAACTTGCTCAATCTTTGAACATATATGGAGGCCTAACGATGGCATCGAACCCTCATCCTTGGACGCCACAGACACACGTACGGGAGTAGGGCAGAAACGCGAGTGCGAGACTATTCAACAGCTCTACAAAGTTTATTCCTTTCTATCAAACCTTTTGCCAGCGGGACCGAACCAGTAATCACTCCTTGATGATTACATTAAGCGGGCAGATCGGATCTCTGTTCCAATGACCTTTTATGAATCCTATTGAGTCATTATTAAAACTAAATGAATGTTTAAATTGTCTAAATGAAAGACAATCACATATAGTGATTGTCTTCAACGTGGTCAGGTTATTTTCAGGTGATTTCGGGGCTTAGCGTCTCCGCGGCCCGGTCCTCGACCAGGCCTCCTTTTTGTTACACACCCCCAGGAAGCAGCCCGTAGCTGCTGTCTAACTCCCAGGTACCTGTTTACTGCTAGGTAACAGGAGCATCAGGGTGAAAGAATTATACTCTGTCCATTTGTTTCCGCCTCCGCCGAGGATCGAACCTTTTATGAATCATATATGGGTCATTATTAAACCTAAATGAAAGGTTCCGGATCGAACCCGAAACCTTAAGACTACGAACCCTGAGCGCTGGACACTCAGCCGTCAGGCCCCTCTCCTGATGATGGGATGTGAACACTGACATGCAAAGTGAACGTTCATTTTGAACTTTTTACATTAATCTCTCTAGTGAGCTTGAAACATTGCGGGGCTTCAATATGGCCGCCTAGTTCATGAGTGTAAACTACAGAATATACAGCTCATTAGCTCACCCTATCTCTCAAATAATCTCTCTAAGGCTACGTTAATTTAACAATTATTTAGCTGCTCTAATAGTTTGCTAAATATTACGCACAGTGTGGATCATCCTCGAATTTCCATTAATTTGCTTATTTACGTTCCGTAAAGCTCATTAAATCTAAAGAAAATACAAAAAATAAAACTAATCGAAGTTTTCAACGAGCTTGGGTTAGTTTAGCAAGGCTGGTCAGTGTAGCCAGGTCTTTAGGAGGAGACGCCAGGCGGCTCATAGTGACAAGTCTAGCCGCGCCGCTCCATAAGACCTGGGAACAATGGTTAGGGAGCATGCCAGACTATTTTATATTTTTATGGGCGCCACTCCAACTGGTGATACCGAAACAATTTGGGCTAATTTATGGAATTTATTAAGAATTTTTTTAAGTTTTGTTGAAAATTATTTTTCTTTTCTGTATTTATGTAACATTTGCATTACGTATTGAATTTT